GGTGATTGGCGCCGACAGGGCGACTATCCCGCACTGCTACAGTACCTGGCCGTACAGCCGTTACAGCCGCTCGCTCCACGCTGGCCGCTTGTGGCTACGCGTAGCGGCGTGGCGCCTCGACCCGCCGGGTGGTCGGTGGCGGTCTCGGTGCTCAATTAGGGTCATTTTGTCCCTTGCACCCCCCCGTTAATGAGGGTCCTAAGGTCTCTTGCATGTGCGCCCGCCTCTGCTGCCTTCGCGCCGCTTTGGCCAACTATCTCTGCCTGCGCCCCAGTCGTAATCCCGCTTCATGACCTGCCAACCAAAAAAGTAAACCCAGCAGCCCATCCAGAAACGATGCCCTGATCAGGGCTATGGAGGAGCATGCAGTTGTCCTCTCTGTCCTCTTCTTCTCCCTCCTCTATATGTCCGTCATAGCCATGTAGGCTTCCAGCCCGTCATGGGCGGGCCCGGATGATTTGGGCACTGTCGAGGCGCTCGCACAGATAAGAGATATGTCCAACCCCCTCTCGGGCCTTCACAAACGATGGTAGCCAGAGCGTGGTTCCCGACAGTTTTCTCTCAATTCGGGCGCTTCGACAGACGAGGCAGCCGGCCAGGGGCGGGCAGAGCAGCAAGAGCAGGATTGAGAAACAATAGAGCAGGAGGCATGGAGTGACGAGGCACGGTGGTGGTGGTGGCAGCAAGCATGGTCGTGGGGTACGCCGCCATGGAACTCGTCGGGCTGGAGCACAGCATGGAGGGGATCTGCCGAGAGAAGCAGAGATTTCTCCGTGCCGCCGCCCTTCCTCGGATTCGAGCATGTGGACACCTACCTGCAGGATCTGACTTCTTGGACAAAGAGGACAGGACATGCTTCAGCCCGAGGCCCAAGCATCGAATATTGCAGAGGGATATCCAGTATAACTCCAGGGAAAGTTTCGGGGCGTTCGTGACCAGCTGGATGCAGATGACGTGGTCAGACGACATCTCCGTTGACTCAACCGCGAGAGACCAGGCGATCGCGAACGGGAAACCCATAACGCAGCTTTCTTTGACTTCAATATCAAGCGTGGCGAGAGTCTCATAGAGTTCGTTGTCAGAAAGGATTCCCATATTTCCCTCGCAGAGTCCGTCGGCCCATCACTACCGGACAATGTCAAAGCCAGATACTGCGAAAAGGTTGACAGCGGACAGGGCACAGGCGTGTCAATCTCAATATTCTCATGGCGGGACGCCGCGCCAGCCAGTGGGTTAGAACATCGTTGATGCAGCTGGGCGTGACAGACAAGAGTGTGCGCCCTAAAGTTTCGCAGCCCGCAGCCAAGACCTGTCCAGCCACTGAGGAACCACGCGACGACGACCTCAGCGCTTCACTATGTATATATGTATATACATCTATATCTATCTATGTGTATATATATATATATACATTGGAAGTTGACTTTTCTCGCGAAGAGGCCGCCACATTTCTGACATCTCTCGGGGCTCATGAGCTATGTGAGGACGAGGCCTTTGAGGTGTTTGCGGAATTGGCAGATTCGAGACGACGACGAACGTGGAAGGAGGCCAAGCACTTGAAGGCAGCACGTAAGGTTGACTGAGATTTCTTTGGCCGCAAGCGAGCCTCCGCGTCATCGTCCTCAGCCCAGCCAGGCTTTCGAAATACTTCCAAAGATGGCATCAAAAGCGAAACATATGTACGCATTGCGGGGAAGACTGTCATTGGAGAAATGACTGCAACAAACCGTTTACACCAAAAGCAGACCGCCTGAAGTCCTCAAATCGGAGAAGCGAGGTCATTCGACAAACGTCAGTATGGCAGACGACTTCTATTTCTCTTTCCATTCCTTCGGAACATCGGCTCGGCCATGGGCAACGTTCCCAGAGCATGCGTTGAATGAGGATATGAAGTTTTCAGGAGCCCACCTGAGAGACATGGGGGATCACGGGCTGGTGGGCGCGGCCGCCGCCGAGGCGCTCATCGGAACACCTGATCTCGAGGCGATGAAGAAAGCTGATGAAAGCAAAGGTGACATCACCCACGTTGTGCATGAAGAGACCTGCCGTTCGCCAACGGAGTGGGCGGCCGTTGGCGACCCATTGCCAAAGCAGTGGTGCCGCTCTCCTTCTACAAGTGTGGCGTGCTGAAGTTTCTGGTTCTACCTCGCGCGTGTCCTCCGCTGATGCCCGCGGATTCTCTGGATTTTCTCGGGGCAGTGATTGCCATGAAGAGCACCGAGATCAAGTTCGTGGAGTCCAGCGAGCACGAAATTCCGATAACCGAGCTTCCGTCGGGCCACACGTCGATCGCGCTGATAGGCCGGCCGTCGGCCGAATTCAAGCTGGGCCCCACTCGAGACGAAGTTCCCCAGCTTCTCCCGCGACAGGGTGAACGCGAGAAAGAGAGAGAGATAGAGAGAGAGAGAGAGAGAGAGAGAACACCTGGTTGACGAAGCAGAGCGACGAGAAGGACTACTTGGATATTCTGTATGACCGGCGTCGTCTACATCGTGTGCGACCCGGGAGAGAGCTCTTCGATCCGACCACCGCCGCGAGCCTGCCGGTCGACCTGAAGGAGCTGGGGGGGGCACTGGACTACATGCTGCAAGTTCATGAACAGCACGGCGTGTGGGTCGAACACTTGTACGATCCCGAGTGGAGCGAGTGCCAGGAGGAGATCAGCATGCACGACTACTGGATCGGCTACTCCGACTTCTACCTGTTGAGCGCCAGGGGCCAGTCTCTGGGCCGGCGCAAGGGGGGGTCGCGCGACAGAGGTAGGGCAGGTAGATCGCTTCAGCGAGTCTCCTCGACAACGCGAGCTTCGAGCTCAGCGACGTCGAGAATATCCAGATGAACGAGTGGGCTACACGCTAAATCCACCGGCGGATCGCTGGACAGATGTGCGCTGGCGCTTTAGTCATGCTGCGAATGTGCGCGGAGTCGCGGCTGCTAGCCAACCTGGCACCGAGGCTGATTGGGGGCGCAGTCAAGGAGTTCAGGGAGGAGGAGTGCGAGCATCCGATCTGCGCCAGGTCCCATCGCGGCAACCAGTGCGCCAGGTGGGTGAAGTGTCGCAAATGCGGCGCCAGGCTTGAGGCGACGACGTGCACCCAGGAGGAGTGGGCTCTGAAGAGGGTAGATCGCGAGGCGATCAAGAAGGAGGAGGAGATCGAGGGGCGCGGCCAGCAGCGCATCCAGATGGCGACCAAGGTGAGGAACTCGGACTACCGGCAGACCGAGAAGGACCCAGTGCGTCGCCCTCCTCGCAGTCCAGGCTCCTCATCGGCGGCTGGGACTGGGAGCCCAGCCGCTCTCGTGGCCGAGATGCGCGCGATCCGGAGATGGTGCAGGTGAAGCCGCCTCCCCCGGGCTGCGAGGTGATGTCGCCTCCGCCAGGCTTCGGCCCCGCGGCCGTCAAGAGGTCGCCGGTTCGCAGGTCCGTCGCGGGGGGGCGCGGCCAGGAGTTCGAGGAGCTGCACAGGAATGGCGAGAGCAGCCGCGAAGTTACTGCACAGTGGATGATGGAGCAGAGGAATGAGTCCGAGGAGACTCGCAACCAGTTCAGGGAGGTGGTGTTACTGATCAGGAGCGGCATGACCGGAGCATCCATCAGCTCGGCCCCACCCGACGCAGCGATGAAGGTGGAGGCGATCAGCGACGAGGGGGACTAGAGCAGGCATGCCAGGGAGGTACCCAAGGCCGCTACATCTCCGATCCCAAGTTCGATTCGGGCAGTTCTATCCGAGGCGGACAGGTCGCCCGCTCAGGGCGCGGGCAGACAAAATCACCATCCTCATTCCTGCATCGTCTCCTCTCTTTCCACCGTCCGAGAGGCTTGCGAATTTTCCTCCAGGGTCCAGGAGGCCCTTCGAGGGCTGTTTCCCCTGGGGGCCGACGTCGGGGACTGGGCCGTGAGAAGCTTTGGGGTCGCTGAGAAAGGGGGCGGCCTTGAAAGACTCAGACAGAAATCCTGGTATGTGGATAGCTGGCTGTGGGGCTGTGAGATGTGTCGCGCGGCGTCTTTAGAGGAAGTCTCAGAAAAAGAGAGAGAGAGAGAGAGAGAGAGAGAGTACTGGGAAGAGGAGTCTCAACGCACCCGACACTCAGGGGTTTCCGGTCTATCCTGCTCTGAGGGCCAGGGGGGAGATATCCGACCACCTTGATGCTGGGGGGCTTCGGGGGCTAAGGATCACGGCGAACGCGCCCGGGGGGATTTCCACCGTCGTCGACTCGATTTGGGGTGGGGGCTTCGGCGTCCGAGAGAGCGAACAAGCGGGGGGCCTTTGAGAAGTCAGTCCTGGCGATCTCTGTCTGGGTCTCGCCTGGGGTCCTGGCTAGTCTGCCCAGGAGCTGGCCCTGGCTGGACAGGCGTCCGTCTCCTAGGGGGTCTTTGGCTCGGCCGCCTGTCTCTGTTCCCCGTCGGGTACGAAGATATGCCCACAGAACACTAGCGGGAAAGGGGGTGAGAGCCACTAGACAGGAACTAAGGCAGTGCCACAAGGCTGCGTTTCTAGCCAGCATCGATCATTCGACATACGGATGGTGGCCAACCCAAGCACTATTTACAGAGGCAGCCGCTTGGCGTGGCTCGGCGCGCGGTCGCAAGTTGGCTGCACGAGTGATGGACGGACAGATTCCCCGAAGGCGGGCAAGCGCGCTATATTCTTTAACGCCCAGCAGTCCAGCACTTCATGGGCGCGGTTTTCCGCGCGCTGGAACTCTGCTTCCTGACTTCAGGTCACGCAGTGCAAGCCCTCAATTGCTGCCCGCTGTATTCAGTACCTCCGAGACCTCATGGAATTGTGCTGGAAACTTATTCCCCTTCAACTCAATCTCCATGGTTGCCTTCTGCCCTTACTGCTTCTTCTACTCAACCTCCGCTGCCTCTTTCGCCTGTTCTCTCTCTCTCTCTCGCTTTGTCTCCCTCGTTTTTTTTTTTGTTCTCTCTCTCTCTCTTTCTCTTTCTCTTGTCTCCCTCTCAGACTGATGGCCTGCTTTTCGATCTGTCCTATCAGGTCAGGACAGAGAACTGCCTAATGAAGGACGCGCAGGGCAGGCTGATCTGCAAGCCTGGGAAAGAGTGCAAAGTGACCAGCGGGATGGGCGGGCGCCGCGCTTGGAGACACAGTGCCGTGTGATCGCGCACGTCGAACCGCCGCTCGCGTACGTTCTCAGGGGAACGAGCAATGCCATAAACATAACAACTCGGAGGTCCGCGCGGATTTTTCGGATCGGCGCTGGGGCCCCCTGGCGCTCGTGCCATTTTTCGTTCCCCTTGTTCCGCCTTTCTGGAGAGCATCTCTGGAGCTCCCTGGGTTTGTGTGCAGCCGCACGGAGGGGCTCTCCGTGCGGGCTGCCCGAGGACGCTCGCCGGGGTGGACAAGGGCCGTGGGGGGTCGACGAGGCGTCCATGCGGGCTCCGGGTGTTTCTTCTGGCAGTCTTCGGCCAGGCTTCGGGGTGTCCCAGGCTTGTCTTGGAGTTCTCTTGGGTGCTCCTTGGGTCGGGGGCGGCAAAGGAGGGGGGTGATGACTAGGGGGGGGTATATCTCATGGCGTGGGCCATGATATTTCCTCAGATTTCATGGCGCCTCTTCTTATTTCATTACGTCCCTGGCCCTCCCTTGGGCCGAGCACATGCCGCCGGCCATGATTTGCGCCCCCCCATTTTGGACGCCCCCCTCTTGGCCGCCCCCGACTGGAGCGCGGGGAAGTTCTTTGACACGGCCTGTGGGGCTGTCTGTCTTTGTGGCGACTGAGGACCGTCGAGTGACACGGGGGAGCCATCTTGGGCCCAGACGGATGGGGAGTATCAAAGACTGAGCAACATTTGGTACGCTCTGTTTTCGGACTGTGCCTTCAATGAATGCCTCTGGATAGCCCCAGAGAGGCTCTGGAGGTTGTGATGGGTCCTTTGTTGGTGATTCTTCGTGGCTGCGGAACTTCTGTGGGTCTTCTCGAGCCAGTCTTGGGGTCGTTTTCGGTCAGTGTTTGAGGCGGCTTGAGGCCAGTCTTTGGAGCGTTTTGCAGGCCGCTTGGATCAATGCAGGGACCGTCTTGACGCTGTCCAGGGAGCAGACGTTGAGTGATTTTCGATGTTTCGGCCTCCTTGGAGTGCTCAAGAAGATGCCCTTGGGGAACGACTTCGAGCACGTAGAGCACCACTCGAGCAGGTCAGATTGAACGACCAGACCGGAGTGTGGAGGGTTCTATACGAAGAATGAGAGAGAGAGGGAGAGAGACACCGGCAGAGTATACACATATACATATATTTATGTATATATATACATATCTGTACATGCAGATGGGTGTGCATATTCTTATGCATATATACACATAGGTATTTAGATCTGTATACATTCATCGATGCATATTTTACGTATGTGTACATGCGTATTCATATGTACATGCGCAAGTGTATGCTATGGCTTATTCCTATATATATATGTATACACTTGTGTATATCATACGTTGATATTATGTTCACTAGCTATTGATGTATGTATATTTTATGTACATGCAGACGTCTACGTATAGTGTATGTATACGTATGCATTGATATCTATATACTTGCATAGGTATGTATCTTGTATACACATTTAACTGCATATGTATACGTATATGTTTTTGTCTATGTTTGTTTGTATGTACGTATGTATATATATATATATGTATACACATATATGTGTATGTATGTATGCATATGTATATGTAAAAGTATGTGCCTATGTCTATGTATTTGCTCATGTCTATGTATTGTTAGTCACCGCCGCCACGGTCGTGCACTTTCGTCCCTCGGCGTTCGGGCCTCGCGCTTCTTTGATGACGCGCGCCGTCGTCCTTTGAGTTTTTGTCGATCCGTCGTTGGCCCTCAGCTCTTCTCCATATTACACGCTGCACCCTACCGAGTGGGTGTGGTGTGTGGCCGGGGCGAGCCTCGGTTTTCGCCTGCAGTTTCCGCCCTGTCAATTGCCTCCCTTCTCTCCTCCTCGCTTGTCCTTCCTTCATGCATGCAGCACTCTCGTTCTTGTTTCAGGCCACGGTTCATGTCGGCTCTTGTTGTGTTCCTGGCTTGCATGGCGACCTTTTGGATTCGGACAGCGGTCGGGGCCGAGTGATGTGACGTTCTGCGGTCGCGTTCCTTCCTCCTCTTCCTCGGAAAAAAAAGGTGTAGTTGCGTATACATATGTAGCTCTACCTGTATATGCTTACATCTACGTACTTGTAGATGCATATGTATACTTGCACATGCACATATACATGCATGTCTATATTCATATGTCAACGTCCATGTATATATAGTATATATATATATATGTATATATATATGTAGTTATACATTTCTGTATACATGTATATATGTACGTTTATATATATATATATCCACATGTATATCTACATGTATTATTATGTATGTCCATGTATGTGTGTATATATATATATGAAGAGGTATTTGCACATGTGTGTATATTTCTATGATTATGTACTGTATATGTGTTTGAGTACGTTTGAGTAATGCATATGCACATGCATCTACGTACATGTCGATATGTATATATACATACCTATAGGTGCTTGTGTGTTGCACATGCACATGTACCTGTGTATGTATGTGTATGCGTAGACGTAAATGTATAGGTATACGTAGCTGTTTGTGTTTCCATGCTGAGGTATGCGTATCATTGTATATAGGTGAATAGGTGTACGATAATACATGTGCATGCTCGTGTTTATGCTTACGTACATGTTGTATATGTATGCGTACACGTATGAATATACACATGTACATGTGTAAATGCTTTGGGTTTATGCGTACGTGTATATGTATGCATACACGTTATGAATAGTTGCACATAATCATGTATGTATGTATGTATGTGTGTATATAAATTTATAGAATAGAAACAAATACCGCCCCCCCCGGCCCCGGGTCCCACGACTACCCGTGACATCACGGGCACGCTCCCGGTACCGCTCCCCCGGCCTTTCGTGGGAGCCTCCACAGCGCCCCAGGAGGGCCCAAGACGCTTTCCAGGAGCTCCCAGAATGCGAAAGGACGGTCCAAGACGCTCCCAAGCAGCCCAAGTCAGCCTTCCGACGGCTCTCGAGGCTCCCAGGTGGCCTCCAAGAGACCCCACGAGAGGTCCGAGAGGCGTCCTGGGACGGCCCGAAGAGGCCCAAATCGTCGATTTCCATTTATTTTTTTCAATGCTTTTGGCTTCTCGCGTTTTCGAGTTTTCATTGGTCCAAGAGCGCCGAAGAGGCTCCTCAGACCGCCCCAAGGCCACCCAAGAGACCCTCAGGACGGCCCCAAGACGGGCCAAGAAGGCTCCATGACTGCCGAAGAGGCGCCCAGGACAGCCCCAGACCACCCCAGAACAGACCCAGGATGGGCCCAAGAGCGGTAGCAGGAGGCTTCAGAGACCTCCGAGAGGCCTCCGGGACCACCCAGAGGCCCCCAACACACCCCCGATCCCTGAGAGGCCCTAAAAAGACCCCGACGAGGCTCCAAGAACAGCCCAAGAGAGCTGCGAGAGCCGTCCCGAGAGAGCCCAAAGAGGCTAAAATTGTTGATTTCCAATCGTTTTTCTATTGTTTTTCGCTTTCTCACGGTTTCCCGCTTCGAACCCTCGAAGATCGATGAGTTTGAAAAAATATGGGAATTCCCAGATTTTTTTTTTTTTTTTTTTTTGTTTCAAAGTGGGACTCCTACTCGGAGATCCCACACATCCCCTGACATCTGGCCGGTACCGCGCCTCCCGGCTTCTCGGGGGGCCCCCAAGATGCCCAAGGACAGCACAAGACAACCCTAAGGAGCCCCCCGAACGTAAAGAACGGCCCAATACGCTCCCGCGCAGCCCGAGACACCCTTCCGACGGCTCTCCAGGCCTCCAGGAGGCCTCCAGAACCTCCATGGGACCCCCATGTGGTCCGGAAGATCCCACACCCCTGAGGGGCCCGGCTAACAAAGCCCGCGAGGCACAAACAAAAAACAGCGCCGAACAGCGCCGAGGAATTCGAAAAGCATGGAAATACCACAATTCATTTTTTTGTTTTCAGGTTTGGCCCCCTGTCTACTCTTGCACAGCAGACCGCAATTCAGACCCCCCTCACCTCCCCCAAAAGAACCCAGGAAGCCTTTGAGGGCCCCAAATCGTTGAATACCTGAAGGACATTAATGATTTCTGCGTTTCCGCATTTCCCCTTCTGTACGATTCCGAGGCTTACGCAGGGCCTCCAAGGGAGTCCCTGGACGCAAGAAGCGACCTACATGATTTTTCATCAGTTAGCCTAGCAAGCCTAGCTAGAACTTGAGCGCGCACGAAGTGCGCGCGAAGTTTCTAGGTGTATATATATATATATATATATATATATATATATATGAAGGTATATGTATATGGTGGACGATTAGCGTGCAACGTTGATCGTGGTCACCACACAGCGGGGCGGGCGCCCCCACCACAGCCCCCATGCTTAGGCGAAAGGGAGGGGGCGCCGCGCGACGCGCAGCGGCGCGGGGCGACGCGAACCCAAGGGATGGGCGCGAGGCCCGCCCTGCCTGCATGGGCGAGCGCACGAGCGGGCCCGTGCGCCGCCCATGATTGGGAGGGGGCGCCACGCACGCTCGGCTGGGTTGGTGTCCCGCCACGCTCGGCGGGGGGCACCTGCCGTGCGGCGTTTGCCCGTCCACCGCTCCCGTGGTGTCCATTCGGCTTGCGGTGTTCGCGCTGGGCGCTCGGTTAGGCTGGCGACGCAGGCTAGTGCCAGAGCCGCGGTCGGCTCGGGGCACCACTGCGCGCGGCCAGGGTCGAGCGCAGCACCCGTCGTCGCGGTGCGACGCGCCCAGCCGTTTGGCGTCCGTGCCGAAGTTTCGTCTCTATGTATCTGAGGACGGGTATACATATGTATATGCATATGTGTACGCGTATGTAAATGCATGTGTATAGGTCTACGTATGTATGTATGTATGTTTGTATGCATGTATGTATGTATGTATGCATGTCTGCATGTATGCATGTATGTATGTATGCATGTATGTATGTCAGTCTGTATGTATGTATGTATGTATGCTTGTATCGATGCATGCATGCATGTCTGTTTGTTTGTATG